ATGACTGACAACATGCATGCTGCTGTAATAATACACTCATTGAATCAATGCGTACTTTGCTGAACATTTTCACACTTATTTTTTCAGACGGTAAGATGGGTTGGATGGGCGATTCGTTTTGTTTCCGGTGCACAATCGCTACTTCTTCTACGCTTGTTCACTGCGGAATTACAGCCATTGGTCAATTGTAGCATATACCGCCAACTTCTGACCGCTATGAATTATGTATATCATTAACCCCAAACCAGTTGATGGAAATGCCCAAATTCACATTTATCTTTTACGAAATGTCAAAAATGTATATAGATTGGCTTGATATCTGAATAAAACATGTCTAAAGTCTCTATCTGTCTGTCTTCGAGCCTTATAATATGATTATTTCCTCCTATCTTATATCAGGTTTCTTTCCAACATGAGTCTGAATTTTAGGCTCTGTTCCAACAACAGCGCCAACCTCAACCCTGCATTACCTGTGACACACAACTCAACCGCTTTTGAAGTGCGTCAAGCATATCATGGCACAAAGCTGCAGACACACATACTTTTCTTCCTCCTCACTCTTCCCCCTTCTCTGGTGAAATAGCACACAGAATCACATTTTCACATCGCGGTCTCCTGTGAGTTTTTTTTGTAACTCAAGCCGTACCACATATAGGGGCTGAAACTGTAGCATAACGTGAACCTTCTGTTTGTTCTCACTCTGTTGGAACAATCTTTTTAAGCCTCCAATGCAAGAGTGTCTCATGCTTTGTAATCTATACAAACACCAAAGATTTATGCCGGGTCGTAGTCATGCTTCATAAATCATATTGATCTGAAACGGCCCTTATTTGATGTTGGGACTCCAATAAGGAGACAGAAAACTTGTCCTGTTTGCCAAATATTTCAGTGGTGATTCAGAATACATCAAAAACTCCTTCCCATCTAACGCTTTTGAGCGTCTGTTTTACTTTCCTTTGTTTTGCAAGGCAGGATCAGCATGGGGGTTTTCAGTTACACTTACACTTTTCTTTGCATATATCAGCTGTTAAAAGTCACTTTGATCTTTATTAAGCTTTGTTTGATAAAGTTACTTTACATTTTGCAATATTCTGGTTTTCATTCATTAATCCTCGTACGCCACTGTCCGTATTGTAATTTTTAACAATGTATTGTTAAATATTTAAGTGCAATGTGCACATTACTTTGAGATGTACTTAAAGGTGGGGTAGGTAAGTTTGAGAAACCGGCTCGAGATCGCTAGAATTTGAAAATACACAACCGGAGAAAATCTGCCACTTCCTTACAGAGCCCCTCCTCCAACACACACGAACGCGCACATGACCAATGAGGGCACGAGATAAGTTTGTGCACAGATGGAAGGCTGACAGGCAGGTAGGCCATCCAGTTATTTTAGCCGGGCCGGCAAAAATAATTGGTCGTGCTTTTTACAGTACTACGGCTTCCACAGATGACATTTTTTTATGGATTTTTTGTCAAAGCACTTCAGATATTCATTGCTTTCGGGATGTTAAGAGCATTCCATGGAATATAACAAAAAGTGTATCTTGAGCCGGTTTCTCAAACTTACCTACCCCACCTTTAAATTCTAATATAATATGAAGATATTTATTTTAATTTAGTTTGTTTTTGCACTTTTTCTTGTTAAACTTCATATTGTTATTTACATGTTTTTATTTAAAAAAAAAAATTATATTTGAATTTTTATTCTAAAGTTAAAGCAACTTCAAAGCCACAAAACCTTATTTCTCACAAGGATAAATGGAGTATTCTGATTAATATGTTGTACTTAAATATTAAACCGTAATTAATTCGTAGACAAATCCTTGTTGAAAATGCTACTTTTGAGAAGTTACAGGCACCTCTTTGAATACAAGTTTTTGCATCTATAATGAGATTACAGTGTTTCCTCCGTTTGCAAAACAACTTCATTTGATGTTTTTTCTCACAATGTGTTTATGCTGTATCATAGTTTTCCTCCTGCAGTCTCTGCAGCAGATTCTTAATATGAAACAGCTTTCCTGATCACTTTCTGATTTTTTAAAACATTTTTTATTAGATTGTTCCCTTTAGAGATCCCTGTTGTAGTAGATTGATGTTCAGTTCACACGTTGTCAATACTAGATAAACATCATTCAACACCATTTGGATTCTCTCATAGAAGATTTTTGTGTCTCAATTCTCAGTTTGGAGCAGCAGTGTGTTCAATCTCAAAATGATTGCTCATTTGTTCTTGAAAACTGACAGTTAAAGGGCCGGAAAAAATAGATTGCGTATATTCACGTTTGCATCATTCTGTTTTTAAGGAATATTGTACTAGTTTAGGAAATATGCAAGGTAGAGCCAGAAGATTTGTTTTTAAATGTTGAAGTTAAAAGCATCAATCTGGTGCACTTTGAGAGCAACATTAGGAGATCTATGGATACATCTTTCAACACCCATATGAAACAGAACTGTAAGCAGATTTTCTTTATGGATATTTTACAAATCACTCACCTTTTAAACTCTATTCTTGTTTATTAATAACTTTTTTTTACTGTCATATAGTATTTCATAACTGTTTACATTATTCTCTTATTTTTTTATAATGATCATATAAAGATGTGCCTCTACCTCACTGGTTGGAGAAAAAGCTTCTTATATTCGTTGGCATAGCTAGCTAACCAGATGCTAATAACAACAAAGTGATTGACTGTATGATCAGTATGACAGATGAACAGATCGCCACTGGGCTTTCAACTAAAGACACAGCCACGCAAAAACTGCGGCATGTGTACAGCTCCTTATGGCTGCTGCAATTTGTGAAGTGGCGGAGCGGCGTTCTGGTGCTCTCCTGCAGAACTGCACCCCTGTCAGACGGGACATATACCACGTGATGACACGTTAGGCTCGTGTTGTGTTCAAGGACCCTGACCTAACCCAGGAAAAACAGGCACTCGCTTGTTTAATTTTTTTGCGGTCTAGATTTCATACATTTTTTCTTTTTTGCGTGTGTTTATAAATTACCTCGAGGGCCGTACCAAATGGTCTCGTGGGCCGTATACGGCCCGGGGGCCGGAGGTTCCCCACCCCTGAGCTAGCGAATCAGTGCATGAGAAGCGAAACGGTTGCTTGAGAATGTCTTCCACAAGCAACACTCCAATGGCTGATAGCTCCAGTACCGCACGAAACATGTTTTCGATGGACGAAAGTGAAAATGGAACGCACACGCTATTTGTTGTTTGTTTAGATCACGCAGTCTGTTCTTCTTCTCTGTCTTCCGGTTGTTGCCTCTTTTGAATGACGAATAGACAGTTCGTATGTGCTCGGCTGAAGTCTTTGCGGTGTGTTCCAGTGCGACACATGGCCAAGACGCAGGAGAACACGGCGACGCAACAGTCGGCGTCGGCGAGTTCTCTGGTGACTGCTTGGTGTGTCAGGGCCTTTAGCTTGTAATAAAATAAAGTGTACAGAGGACTATTTGTGATTTCACTTGTGTATATGAATTACTTGGTAGCAGTGCTTTACTGGCAACAACAAGCCTCCAAAAAGTTAGTGGAAGGGTATAACCAGCTCACCACTCCACATAACTTGTCATTTTATGTATGGTGGTTTTTGTGTGGATTTATCAAACAAGAATACAAGATTGTTTCAGCTTCAGACAGAGCCAGGCTGTTTCAAATTGCCTCCAGACTTTATGCTAAGCTTCCTATCTTTGGCATCTTCCTATTTAATGGAGTGCCTGAATAGAAGCCAGAAATATAGTCTGTGATTAGGAGCTGTGTTCCACATATTGTGGATCTCTCCATACATTTCTTCAGTAAATACCATACTTCTGAATGTTGAAATCTTGTAGCAATAACAGCGGTTGCCAACAAATGAGACAACTTAAAGTAATGTTGAACATAACTGCCTTTAGCTTAGCGGTGGTGATGTGCAGCTTTGAGAACGTAACATTAGCTTTTTATTTCAGATGATTGCAATTACAAATCAAAAACCAAAAGTGGTGTTTTATGTGGAGATTATCCTGCTGTAACAAATGTGCTATGTATCGTAAACGTGCGATTACCACAGATCTTATTTTCTACAATAATCAAAATTCCATTGGTATGTTTGTCGAGGGAGCCCTTACAAAGCTAACTTCCCTGTAGGCCCTCACAAACATGTCATCAGTGCACCACTCTATTGTGAAAATGTTTGCAAAATGTCATTGATTTATAATAAATATTAGGGATGCTCCGATCGATCGGCCGCCGATCAATATCGGCCGATATTCACTCTCTGCCGATCGATCGGTGCTCTCTATAAATGCCGATCGGGAGAGCCGATCACATGACGTAAAATACATGACACTTTTCTCTGTGTGCGGCCTCGCAAAAATGGCTTCACCAGTCTGGCAGTATTTTAAGGTGTCCGAAAAAGACAATAAAATAGCGGGATGCAACGTGTGTGAAGCAGAAATCCTGCAGCTCCACCCGCTGTGACGGACCGGTGAGCGGAGCAACACACACACTAAGAGTTAGACCTAACACACTTAGCTATTTTATCTACCTCTGGAACAAGCTAAACTAGTTATAAATATGATCAGTGAGCTGCATGAGACGATACTGACGGGCTGTCAGGAGAGAGAGAGGGGGAGAGAGAGAGGGAGAGAGAGGAAAAGAGAGCGCTTCCGCTCATTTTTCCCGTGTTATTATCCAAAGTTAATGTAAACTTGAATAATGTACTTCATTTGAATGTAATAATTATGTTGGTTGTTGTTTGTGGAAGTGCCAGTGAATGAGCCCCATTAACTGAGTTTTAAACATCACTTTAAATGGAAGATCCCCATAGCCCCCGCGAACTCGATCGGATCGGCGATCGGTATCGGCCGATACTGATTCCGGCGATCGGCCCCAAAATTGGCGATCGGAGCATCCCTAATAAATATTAACCACCTCACAATTGACATTCCTTTCTAACCCACTGTTTGGTCTGCCTAACAGATCCTTAACTTTTCTCTGTTTGTTTTTCTCCCCCAGAGGAGTGACCGTGTCCTTGCCAGGCCCGCTGGGAGAGGACCATGGCCCTGAGCGATGCCAGCGGCGACTCTGTGGCCCTGAGCAACGGAGGACACCATAATCTCAGCGCCAACGGAAACGGCAGCACACACAGCAGCGGCCAGGACCCTCTCACAGCCGCTGACTGCCTCACAGATGGAGACCAGGAGGTTGTAGTAAAGGACGGGGGGTGTAAAGTCCAGCAGAGATCACACGTGGTCCAGAGAACAAACAGACCCAGCCTGAATGGCGGCGTGGTCAAACAGAACAGCTCCCTGAGGAACCTTCCCCCATCCTCCCCCAAACGCCACGTCTCCTCCAGCCTGTCCCAGTCTTCCTCCTCCCACTCGCTGCAGCCCCCCCCCCTCTGCTGCCAGCACTGTCACTTCCACTCCCCCCTGTGCTGCCCCTGTGGACAGCAGGACTGCCCCCTCTTCCAGAACCCAGGCACAGGCCCAGGGTCCGGGACGGCTTCATCCTGCCCCTGCTGCCTCTCTGCCTGCACATACTCCCACCCCCATGCCCATCCTGCTCACCCGTCCTCCCCCCTCTGTCTCCAACACCTCCATCAGCAGCGCTGGCAGGAGCATCTCCAGAACCAGAAGCCTGGAATCAGGTAAGGGGGAGGCATAGGGTTTTGCGATGTCAATATTAAGTTCTATATAGATTAAATGTCAATGTATTCAAAATAATGACTTGGTATCTGTTAGCCAAACATTGCGTGCTATCGTTGTATTGGTACCCTGATCAGGAAACCCATTTAAAGACAGGGTTCCCGCGGGGTCCTAAAAAGTCTTACATTTGATAATCAGAATTTAAGGCCTTAAAAAGTCTTAAATATGATCGAAAAAATAAGAAAGGTCTTAAATATGATTTAGAAGGTCTTAAAAATTATCGGATTTGAAAGTTACTTCTGTGTTGCGATCGCGTCTAAATGTGTTTTGGGGGAAATGTCCGGGCTGCAAAGTAACCAGTACGGTAATAGCCTTTCAGTTCCCCCCAACAATTTGTATTGAAATAAATCAACATGGAACCAGTATACACTAACTTTGTTTCCCCAACCAAGCTTCAGCTAAACTCTGGTATCTTTGAATCTACTTACAAATAAATATGCTGAAGTGTAAGTTCAACCGTATTTGGTTGGAAAACATCGAATTTAGTGCTTGGTTGAAACCAGTGGAGGAGAACGTGTTTGAAGCCCGTTGCACCTTTTGCAAACAAAATTAGCGTTTGTTTTGCTAATGCAGCGTTAGCTAGTGCAGCATTAGCTAGTGCAGCAGCTCCCGCAACAACATCGGGGGACCTCCGGGTGACGTTTGGGTCTGCGTCAACCCTAAAAGCGGAGGTGCTGTGGACGCTAAATACCGTAGTTAAACACCAATCATACAACAGCATGAAGGCAGCAGAGCTCTGAATATAGCTCTTGTCACTCACTCACACACACACTCACACTAGGGCTGCACGATATTGGAAAAAACTGACATTGCGATATTTTCTTCCCCTGCGATATGAAAAAATACAGGAATTGAAGAATTCAACCATCCTTTCTTGAACTTTAATGCTATACAATTGGTATTTTTTTTAACGATATCAGGGCTCGAGCTTAAGGACGTCCCGTCGTCCCGGGGCCGAAAAAAATCGGGTCGGGGAGGATACAAATGAATTTTGGGACGAATTTGGGACGAGAGTTAAAATAAAAATACCCTGCTAACTCTACTACGAACGGCGATGAAAATGAAACTGACTGCACGTTTTGTGTAGCACACAGTTATTAAACCTCCTTGTCAACATAAACACACACAAAGCATTTAGCAACCCGCGAAATACACACACACAGTACGTAGCTACAGCTGTCAGCCAGCCGTACAGCTGTGATGTAACTACCATTTTTTTACTCCGGAGCGGTGCGGAGAAACGAAACTTAACTTATGAAGCAGCTTTTGACGGCGCGCTATGCATGGGGCACCCTAGAGGGGGTTTCCAGACATGTCATTGCAGCTGAGATGAGAACTCTCCATCGCATTTAGTCCTTAGCAATATGCTGCGCCTCTCCCCATGTAGGGATGGGTACCGAGCCCCGGTATTAAACGGGCCCCGGGCCGGAATTATTAAAGACAGTGGTACCAACAGTGGTCTTTTTATCGGTACTGGAGACATTTAAAACATATATGTCATATGTATTATTGCTACATGAACATTATATTGCAGTTTTAGTTTCGCCAACTCCGTTTCTAATATGCAATAAGACTACAAAATGCGTCTATGATGTATTTTCGATCTTATTTTCGATCTTTCCAATCCAGACGAGAGAGCTCTCTCTCCCGTCTGTGTGCGAGGGGGCGGGGCAGTTTGTAAAGGTCTCCTGACTGTGTTACAGACTGTCATCCTGGTTAGTGGTTACTCTGGGTTCTGTCTTCAGGACAGAGTGTTGGATTTTTTTGTTAATTGGATGGGACTTGATTGGATTCAATATTAGAGTAACTTTCTCGCTTGTGTGTTTTTTTTAAATATATTTGGCCTTTGTTTATGTGTTTGACTGATTTACTCAAATAAAAAGGTTGATGAATTATCATCTAATGATTTGTATGATGTTTTATTTATGTTAAAGGTCACTTTGACCCTACAGTCCCCTACAGACTGAACCACTGCCGCCAGAAATGTTCATGTCCTTGTATCATATGTCGATGCATACAAACAATCAAGGTCATGTCCATGTATCGTACGATAAGTCGATAAAATCATTATGGGGACAGGTCTAGTTTTGTGTTGTAGGACAGGTTGGGGTTTGTTTTTTTCTAGTGTGTGTTCCCCTAAGTGGCTTCCTCGTTCTTACATACTTCCACTTCCAGAGAATGTATACATGTGTGCACCCAGTGTACAAATCAGTGTGTTTGCTTGTATGTGTGTGGATGATTGTGTATTCATTGACTCTCCTGATGTTAGTCTGGAATGCAGCAGGAGTGGGTCACGGTTGTTTGGTGCTAGGATACAAATGGGCAATACTTTGGACAAAATACAGGAAGGTTATTTTACCAAAAATGTTCTCCAAATAGAGGTCTGTCATGGTATTTATACCAGTAATGTCTACCCCAGCATGTTGGCAGAATGAGAGCAAATGCAACTTATCACTGACTGATGGAAGCCTTTTGAGGTTTTGTCAGTTGTCATGGCACATACCACAGTTTGAGCCCTGAGTCTGGAGACTTCAGGATGAGGGTAAAGCTGCAAACTTGTTGACACACTATACAAATGTTGGGAGCATGACTTGAGTAGGAAACCACACTTCAAACTGTTTGTGCCAGATCTGAATTATACCCTTAAGCTCCCTTTTTATGTCCACTATATTGTGTGTGTTTGTCTGTAGGCTGTAAGGGCTTGTGGGTCCTTTTAACCCTTATCAATGTGCACTTACAACTCAATTAAATTGAACTCAGGTTTCTTTAAAAGCACCCTATTCTGCTCATTTTCAGGTTCATATTAGTATTAAGTGTCTCTACTGTGACATGTTTCCATGCTTTAATGTTCAACCTTTGATATGGCTTGTGTTTACTAGACCCTCCTGGCTGCGGGGATGCAAACAGCCAAGGTAAAGTTTATCCACAACAGGAGACAGGAATTTAGCATGTTATTTGTCTATACCTGCACACAAGCAGACTCATGGCAACCAGTCAAAGCAGAATGTTGGCATTCAACTCCTTTGTTGGCAAACTCCTTTTTCTGTCCTCAAGTGATCCATCTTTAGAGAGGTGGTTCTTTCCCTTTACACAAAAGCCACAGGCCTTCCACCGCATTTCAAACTGAACCATTTAATGCCTCGCATAATCATTTGCATAATCCTATATTTACCTTCTCCACAGAGGCGGGGTGGGCAAGTAATTATTTACTCATATCAGCTCCTTTATGGGAGCATCTCGTTGCGGGGAATCTGATTTGCATGAGGCTTTATTTCTGCTTCCCGACATGGAATTTTCCTCGCCAGAATTAAGTTGGATCTCCCCCTCATCATTTTCATTAGAAAGAGGGCCGTTGTGGGTGGCGGTGAAAGCTGAGGTTTGTGAAGCCGCAGTGGGAACGTACACGGAACCTGGTGTGCGCAGATGAAACCCTGGGTGGGCACTGAGAGGCAAAACAGGATTATGTTGCAGGCATTTAGACGCATTCACTCCCGGTTATTCCTCCTCCTTCATATTTTCTGTTTTCCTATTAACACTCTTTCTTTCTTCATCTCTGTCCCTCCTCCTCCTCCTCCCCCCTCCCCCGTCTCTTGTTCAACATGAGAATGGGGAGCAGATGTGGCGTTTTGCGTCTCTAATGTTGAACCACTCTCTTATTTACCAAACAGGTCCCTCTTGTTCGGCGATGACAGGTTTGAATTACAGGGCCTGGGTTTCCTCCAAGACTGCATCCACGACCCCCCCGCCACCCCCCTTTCCTGTACTGTGTGTGTGTGTGTGTGTGTGTGTGTGTGTGTGTGTGTGTGTGTGTGTGTGTGTGTGTGTGTGTGTGTGTGTGTGTGTGGTGTGTGTGTGTGTGTGTGTGTGTGTGTGTGTGTGTGTGTGTGTGTGTGTGTGTGTGTGTGTGTGTGTGTGTGTGTGTGTGTGTGTGTGTGTGTGTGTGTGTGTGTGTGTGTGTGTGTGTGTGTGTGTGTGTGTGTGTGTGTGTGTGTGTGTGTGTGTGTGTTGTGTGTGTGTGTGTGTGTGTGTGTGTGTGTGTGTGTGTGTGTGTGTGTGTGTGTGTTTGTGTGTGTGTGTGTGTGTGTGTGATTTGCTAAACGCCATACTAACACATTAACCAAGATACTGTATATTCCTCCATCATCTGTGGTGTTTGTAGTCAGACAAGATGGTGTCAGCTATCAGTTGGATCTGCCTCAGTGGCTGTGATCTGCCCGATTAGCCGAGGGATTACATCTGCGATCACACACAAACCTCACACACACTGATAAGGTGTAACTTTAGCTCTTCGGGGAGACCTTTTAATGCGGGGATTTTTATGCCCCTGTTCTCGGCTTCACAAATCCATTTACCCAGATTAGCTTGTACTTTGTTTCCTAATGTTTCTATTTTGAGAAGATCAAAGCCTTTGGGGTGTTATCTACGTATGAAATAAAGCAAAGCTTTGAAGAAAGGCAAGACACAACTCAGCACTTTCTGCAGAGGGAGTAAAAAAAAAACGATGGGTCTGTTAAAAGTATTAGGACCATGTCTGTGTTTTCGCTGTAAGATGATCTTTTACAGACATTTTATGTGTATTATTTAAGATCGGACGGAAACAGTGTGTCCTTGGGATGTCAGCTGTTTGGCCCCGGTCAGTTTAGTGTGTGCCAGCAGGTTTAAAGGCTTCAGGTGAAAGCCCTTTAGACAAGACTTGGGGGGAAGAAATGAGTTGTGGCTGCTCCTTTTGAGAAATTCTCCCAATGAATGTCTTTTACACTTAAATGACATCATGAAGTAGATTTTAGTTTTATTGATGTATCTGTGCTTGGCTTGACATATTGTTCAGTTGAAAACGTAAAAATGGTGGAGGTCGTATCCATATATAGTCTGAAAAGTGGATACAGTAAAGTCCTTAGCACTTATGTCCATCTATCATTTGGTAGGGGATATCATAAAAATG